TTCATTTTCTTCAAGAAGGGTGTTCACTAACTCGCTGACTCTAAATGGCAAGGCTAGGCTTCGAATCAGCGTTTCATACCATATAAGCTGATATTATTAGAACTACTGCGGGTTACTACTGGTCTTTTACCCAAAGCCGAGTGAGAATCTAAAAGCACTGCTTCATAGAGAATTTCGAGTTGTTTTCTGACTTTCATTTTTATGGGATGATAAGTCAAGTGGAGAGAAGTTAATATGGCGGGCCGGCAACTGCACCGAAACGTGAGTAAACAGCAAATTCATACAAAAAATTCTGCAGGACTGTAAACGAGGAAGAACTGAAAGCAGCAGGAAACGACTCATTCACATCAGAGCTTTCATAATGAAGCCCTGCCATCATGCTCGAGGTCATAGGGCAGGCATACGACCCTGACCAGAGTGCATGAGTGCTTTTTATTACACCTTTTGATTAGAGCGAAAAAGACCTAAAGCGATTCGGTAGGTCAAGGATGGCAAAGCTTCCGGGAATGAGCTCGTACGCTTAGGAAATACCTCTGCTCCTCTGTGACCTGCATAAGGAAGCGAGCGTTAACGTTGCCACCCATCGAAGAAGCCGACAGTAATAAAATGTGAAAGTGGGTAGTCGAGGAACAGCTGATTCATAACCGCATGTAGCTCGTCAGTACTGCCTGAACGAAACTCTATCCAGATGCTTCTTAGTTCCCTGAACACAAGCAGCGCGACTACCAAATTAATCACTCAGTTATAGAAAAGTCCGCTCACCGTAAGAGAAAATTCTGTTACTTGTCAATTTCACGTTTTGCAGATCACCCAAGTGATTTAAAAGTACGCATCGATATCTGAATAGAATCCATTTAAACTTACATGAGAACATCAGCCATCAGTATTAATGCAATATTTGAAGATTTGCTGAAGTCAAGTTATTTTTCTATGTGAGGATGCTTATTTCGTCGTTATCTGAAATATCTAGCTTTGAGCACGCCGCTCAACGAGTCACACGGATTTTACTGATGCAAGCAAATGTACCGCTTCTGCACTCGAGCTGCCTCAGTTGTCATCCGCATTAGGAGTTTGCGTTTTTCTCGCATTCAAAAGCTCTAACGCGAGAATACTACGAGATAAACTACGGGCGTGTCTGCAGAAGTTAATTTTGAGTGGGAGTATGAAGGAATAAGCCTAGTCCACGACCCTGGAGCTTCATCTCCACACATGCTTAGGCGGCTGGGGGTCTGTTAATTCCGCACATGCCAAGGATATACCCCGCAGGTGAGCGTGCGTTTTGTCTATTATAGAAGCTTAGGATCGAATTAGCTTATACAGCAGGGCACATCATTGGTTGGGGATTTTAGTCGAGTTTGTGCGACCCCCCCCCTTTTTTTCGGAAGGAAGGGGGGGGGTTGGTACAACCCCCCCTGGCCATCTGTTTGTTCCTCCTCATCGCATATTGCAGCATGAAACAGGAAAATCACCAAATGTCAACGCCCACAACGCCAGAACGTAAATACGACCCCCTCCCAACAATGACCAAATACGACCCCACCCCCTATTGGGGATTCCCCAACACGGTTGGCCCTGTTTTTCAGTCACGGTTTTTAGTCAGCGAAATCGGCTTACGTTTCCAGACTGTCCCCAAGCGAACACAATGCAAAAGCATTCCTCTGGTAGGTCCATTTTGCATGCAAACCCATTTCATCACAGTGCAGACTACCCAGCTTCATCTCAAAGGTTGCATTTCCGGCAATCTGCATTCTATACCGTCCCTTCTTCGCGTTCATGACAACTAGGAACAAATTGAAACCAGTCATCGGTGAACGCCTCTATGAGTGCCGTATGCTCATTTCTTCGGAGGTAGGATGAAACTTTGAAATTATGAAGGCGATTCCAGAGGTCGTGTGGTCTCCTTAACACGAATACGGTAGTCGCTTTGCGCAAAAACGTGGGTGTTCCCAAAGCCCTGACATACCCGGTTTCTTATGAGGCCACCACGAGCGCTCTTGTTATAATGATGGTGAGCCCCTAATAGGACATG